AAAAAAAATTAGCCAGGCATGGTGGCGTGTGCCTGTGGTCCCAGCTACTTGGGAGGCAATGACAAACTCACTGAAAGCTTGTGAGGTTTGTTTTTTGTTTTTTAACTCACCCAACTTGACATGAAATGTATTTCAATGGAAAGAAAAAACTAACCAGGAGTCTTATTCATAGGAAAAGGTAAAAAGGTGTTGGGAGCAAGCCTCCCAAAATCTGGCCATAAACTGGCCCCAAGACTGGCCATAAACCAAATCTTTGCAGCGCTATAACATGTTCATAATGGGCCTAATGCCCAAGTTGGAAGGTTGTGGATTTATGGGAATGAGGGCAAGGAACACCTGGTCCACCCAGGGTGGAAAACCGCTTAAAGGCATGTCTTTCTGTTATATACCTAAGCAGCCAGAGTGGTAACTACTAATACTAAATGCCTCATATATACTAGCTGAATGAAAAAAATACCTTTTAGTATTTCTTTTTCTTAACTTTTTCTTTTTCTGGGTCAGATGAAAACAAGTAGTACTGAGGATCCTCAGAATAGGAAATGCAAATACTGCATTCCAATTATTGGCAGGGACATGAAGAATATGTTTCTATAGGTGTAAGGAGAGGTTAGGGTCCAAAATAAAACAGAAGTGACACTCTGGCTAAAGATGCACACAAAGTCCACAACTGGTTAAGTTGAAATCCAAATGCCAATTTACTAACGCGAGGAAAAATGAGGGCAACTTACTATGTTGTAGGGGAAAATACTAAGTAACATGCATGTGAAATGTACCTTGTAACAGGTTTTGTATTTTTCAAGGGATATAATTATGTGTGCATGCATATTTGAGAATTTTATTAGGTTGTGTTTTATTAGTGGAAATAAATCAGTGGAATTAGATAAACCTGACTCATACAATAAGATGTTTCAATCAACAAGATCCTTGGGATGCAGAGAAAGTGACTATTTAGGTAAGATATTCTTGCAACCCCAAGAGAGGTAAACCAGACCACAGGTGGAAGTCCGGCAAGTAGGAGCCATGAACTGCCTCAAGGGAGTGGGGAGCAGCTTTAAAACAGTATGAGGAAGGGCTCAACTTGTCCACAAAATGTTTTAGGTCTACCAGTTTGAGAACTGTAGGACACACACCTGCATTTTGTTCCTCCCTCTGTTGTTGCCACTGGTGAAAATAAACCAAGTGCTCTCGACCACACATGCTTCACCCGTCTTTCTTATCAGCAGTGCTACATAGGAGGAATCCAGGGCCAGGAGAGTTTTCATTTTCTTAATGGCTTTTGCATACACTGGGTTTACAAATACTTATGGCAGTTCACTAACTTAATCAATGTCCCTGCTCATGCCACCACCAAACAGTTGAATTCAAATGGAAGGAGAAAGAATAGGTGGTCAACAGGTTCAGTAATGAAAGATGCCATGTTGGGCAAGGACTATAGTAAGGGACTAAAGGACTGGGGAATGGAGTGAGGAGTTTAGAATCAGGGAAATAGTAGATCAGCAGGTCAGAACAGGGGAGTGCTGTGAGGTCCCAAGATGCCACCATCCCACCCCAGCTACCATGCATGGATTTTTCTCCATGAGCCATCCCAGGTGAACTGTTTGGGGGTCTAGCTGACTGACCCAAAGGGCTAGAAGTGGCCAGAAGCAATAGTTGCAAGAACCAATGGTTAGATCTGTGGTAGAAACACCAGCTCAGTAGCTAGTTCTATCCCCTAAGAGTTTGTTTTATGTAGGATCTAACAAAACAGGCAAGCAATATAACCAAGAAGTATTTATTAAACAATCTTCTGTGCTAAATAAAGAAGGCTCTTGCCAGGCGTGGTGGCTCACACCTGTAATCCCAGCACTTTGGGAGGCCGAGGTGGGTGGATCACTTGAGGTCAGGAGTTCGGAACCAGTCTGGCCAACATGGTGAAACTCCATCTCTACCAAAAAAATACAAAAATTAGTTGGGCATGGTGGCACACATCTGTAGTGGCAGTTATTCAAGAGGCTGAGGTGGGAGGATCACTTGAGCCCAGGAGGTCGAGGCTGCAGTGAGCCAAGATCACGCCACTGCACTCTAGCCTGGGTGACAGAGTGAGCCCCTATCTCAACAAACAAACAAACAAATAAATAAATAAGGCTCTTTTGGTATCTTTAATGCCTAGTGTAGTCCCTGGCGTATTAGTAGGGCTCCATAAATATTCGAATCTATTTGAAAGATTCAAATGGATTATAGAAACAAGATGATAGAAAATTAAATGGCAGCATTTTTTTTTTTTTAACTTTTAAATTCAGGTATAGCATGCACATAGGCTTTCCATGAACTTTTTACAAAATGAACACACCTATACAACCACCACCGAGATCAAGAACTGTTTTACCATCACCCCAAAAGTATCCCCTCATGAAGATAACCACTATTACCACCATCTCATAGATTAGTTTGTTTTTAATTTGGTCTAAGTGGAATCATACATTATATATTTTTGTGTCTGGTATCTTTCAGTCAACATTGTTTTTGAGATATTTATCTGTGTATGGCTGTAATTCACAGTATTCCATTGTTTATACCAAAATTTACCTAATGTTGATGTTCACTTGCGTTGTTTCTAATTCAGGGCTA